AAGAGATCTAAGCGGTTTAGGAAGAGAGGAGACAAAATGGTGTAGCTGGCGATACCGCCATTCGTCAAGAGATCGAACACCAAACTTATTTTCTATTTGTAGCAGTGTTACAAGACCCGACTCTTGTGTGACCTCATGCAACCTAAAAAGTTTAGTATCGGTCCAGTGGCGAAAGCCACTGTCCATGCGGCTTGGGGGATAAAATGAGTGACCCAACAATGGCAGTAGAGGGGAATTGTAAGGACCTACTAGCTGGGAATATATTTTAGACCAAATAGTCAGTGTGGACTTAGTCAGGGGGGAGGTGGAGTTCCGGAGCTCTCTATTTTCCGGTGGTGTCCAATCGTCGACAAAGGTTGGCCAGCCAGGGAAATTTCCAGGTCGACCCACCGTTTACTCCCCTTCTGAAATGTCCAGTCCAAGACTCTGTTAAGGGCAGCGGGGTAGTAATACAAGGTGAAGTCTGGGAGGGCTAGGCCTCCCCCCTGTTTGGTCCTAGTGAGGGTCTGGCGAGAAATCCTAGCTTTGGAGCGATTCCATATATACTTGTCTACCACTCTACGTAGGGTCTTGAAGTAACACATATGATATTTCCCCCGAAGCCCCCCATCAGTAAAAAAAATTAAAAATAATAATAATAAAAAATAAGCCATCCTGGAGGCGGGGTGACATCACACATCTGTTGGGGGGGCACAACTTTCTGTTCTTGCCTTGGGCGCAAAAGGAGCTAGCTACTGCTCTGTTACAACATGTGGTTGAAAACTTTTAACAAGTCATTGTAATTGTCTAATGCGGTGCTGAAAGCTTCCATCTGACCTCTCTTGTATGTGGATGTACACTTGCCTTTAGTTACAGGACTGCAGTTTGTTTTTAATAGAGTATCTATTGATTCCAAACTGATGCTTTCCATCTGTAGTTGGGCGTAAGATGATCAAATGTATTTACCTTTTGATGGCTTTGGGGCCTGCACAGCGTTGTGACGTTCTGTATTTTCCTATGGATGATCTTCCAGCAGTTGAAGAAATTCCAACAAATAAACATAGTGTTAGAAATGTGTTCTGTTCTAAATTTGACTGATTCATTCATAGCTTGCCTATTATTCAAGAAACTCCGCAATTTCCTAACACATTTATGCAATTAGCATTTCCTGTTGGCTAATCACCGCAAACATCTTGGGAGACTTCCGAGCTTTTGCTGGGATTTTAACAAATGCAAATGTAATTTGGTGTCTGCAGTTATGAAAAGCTCCGGACCATTAAAACTTGATTCTTAACTAGTCCCTATAAATGTTTATACTGTTGGTGCACCAAGGCACTGTGTCCAGTTTTTTGTTGACGTGTTTTCTCAATTGTTGGTGTGTGTGTTCTGGATTTATTTTGCCCTGGATCTGGTTATAGCCGAGGTTCCAAGCAGGTGGCTTTACGCGTCGAAGCTCCAAAAAAATCTATCTTTGGTCCAAGTTTCTTTTTTACCATTGCAGTCAGCAGCCTCTGATTGACACTGCAGTTTCTTATCACATACCGTAATTCTGTGCTGCTCAACCTCCCTTTCAGATTTGCAGAGGATGTTGCTTGGGCACCGAGAAGACATATTCTGATTTAAAATGATATTAAAGTGAAAAGGTTTTTAAGTTATTTCAAATGCTGATGAAATCACTTAAAATAAATGTTGCTACTTGATATTTAAAAGTTTTGTTTCCTGCAGAATCAGCTGCTCCCCTCAGCACTGGTCCTGATATCCTGTTTTAGGGTGGCTCCTTTCCCTTGCAGGTTCCTATGGAGCTACCCATGTGTGTGCTAGTAGGTTGTGTGTGTCTCTACATACATAGAGACAGGCACAACAAGGCAACACATTTCCCTGTTACGCACTCCTTCTTTCATCTTCCTCTTACCTCCTTTCTCCAAGCTAGTAGATGGACAGCTGCTGCAGACCGCTCCACCCCTTGTGATCTCGTACTCAACAAAAAATTCAAGGAGGCTGAGCTGAGTGAGCTGGAGCCAGCTACTCTGAAACATGATGACTGTAAGGGCTAATCGCATAGCGTCTGGTGTGTGGTGCCCCAGCACAGTGCCAATGTGCTGATCCAAGCTCATTGCACTTTGTACTTTTTTTTATTTTGTTAGAACATAATTGAAATGTTGCAAGTGACATTTTATTCAATTCTAAGGGCACAGCGAGGGAAAAGTTGGTTTTGCTACGTCGCATCCCGCTGCATTGAAAAAAGTAAGACATGCCCTACTTTTTTTCAGAGCACACCACCGAGTTCCTACTGCAACGTGGTGGTGTAAATGGGCACCATCCATGACAAGGCAGATTGCTTTGTCTTGCATTGGGGCTGCACTGGAAACAATGGCCAGCACAGCTCCAAAGTAGATGGTCTGAATGGACCCTAAGTGCTTGGGCATAAATGTAAAGAAATGGCTTACTGGGCATTGTGTATTTGTTTGCTCTGGATTATTATTGAAAAAAAAAGTTTGAGCGTTTAATATTACTTTAAAGCTAAACTCCAGCTTTACCTTTTGTTCTTGCACAGTTGTGTACAGGCTTCTCTTATATACTGAAATTGCCTGCTCCCATTTCACTGCACACTATGAGCTCCCTACCCACATACTGCACCTGTCAAACAGACAGATGCAGCAGCAGCCAAAGAGTTGAGCTGTTGTGTAGGCAGAGTCTGATGGATTATGTCGGCAGAGTCTGATGGATTATGTCAATACACTAGTTCTCCATCAGGTCCGCCTCTCCTTAGGCTTACAGTGGGTGAAGCCTGATGTGTGATGCTGAAAAGCTAGTTCCCCATCAGGTCCACATTTCTTGTGATTGACAGCAGCTGGCAGTGGGAGGATTCCATTCCTGCTAGTAGGCTGTGTAGTGGCTATGGAATCCACACATTTTTGTCCACTGTTAATCACAAGGTAAGTGGACCTGATAGGGTACTAGTTTGGTGAGGGGGACCACAGGAGGAAACACATCCAAAAAATATGGTTCAACAACAGAATGCAAAGTGCACCAGCTTAATGGATGCTCAATAATGGAGGCTCACCATCACATGCTGGTATTACCTAGGACAATCTACCTAGGAGCACCCAATCCTCCAGACTGGCATTTACCCATCAATAAATTTTGGTATTTACTATACTTATCTGCTTGCATCAGGGCTGAGTGCTCTTGATATTTTCAGGAAGCTATGTACTGTATAGCACCCTACTGACAACTCCCACCAGCCATGATCTGCATGCATTGCATAAAGTAGCACAGAAACCCAGTGATTAATTTTATTTACAAATTTCTATAGCATGTTGATAAGGGGGTAGGGAAGACAAAATAAAGGCAGATTACACTTTAGCTACAAAATGCCTGCAGAAAATATTTATCATGGCACATATGGGTATGTGAGAAACAGCTGAACAGCTCCCTCCTGTGATGGACAATCTCGTGTTTAGTTTACTAATTTGTATTGAGATCGTAGTCCATAACAGGAGTGAGCTTGGAGTGGTGACTACTGTACAACACACACAGGGGCCATGGGGAACAAAAGTAGCCACCCTCCAGAAGGAAGGAAAGTGTCAGCACCAATTCAGAGATGATCTACAGCTGAGTGATACACAATCTATACAAGATAGATTTTTGTTAATTAGGTTACTTGAATGCATTTTTTAGGTTTAACTGCTGAGTTTAGTGTCACTTTAAATATATTTTATCTGTGTATTTAGATATTCAGCTTTAAAGTACACTGCTGTCACCACCCTGCACTTAATCTGTTATAGGACAGTGAAAGAATAGCAGCAGCCTGATATGATCATCTTCCTGCTCTCTCCTCCCATCAGCTTCTTCTTTATCAGCCAGTTTGCCTGCAGCTCAGTTGCTTGGACTCCAAATATTGCAGCCACCTCTTCCATCCTAAGTGTCGTTTTTCAAGTGTCGCTCTACAAAGGCGTGTGTTGCAGAGGTAGAGAGGAGCGTGTTTCTGTCTCTTACTTAGCACTAATAACTGAAAGCCATATTTAGACAACCTGCACAACTACTGTAACAAGAAAAGTAGAGATACATCTGTGAACATGGAGATTGCTAGTACAATGTCTGTTCAATTAAATATTAATTTCAGTGGCTTCAATTGGGCTTTAAACACAAGTGGTGCCCTATACAAACCACACCCAGTACTGCTTCCAGTGGTGCTTGTTATTTGGGTGGCACTTAGCTATTACCAAACTGCAGTGTTCCTTCATGTTTCTTGGTGAAATGGACAATCTTTTGTACTGTCTAAATTATATAGTCTACATTTTTTTTAACTTAATAGGGTTAGTTTACCAAAGGCAAATAGGCCCGTTGACTTTGCAAGGAAATTTGCACTTTCCAGGGGAAGTTGCCATTTAGCTTAGTTAATGAGGTAACATTTCACTTTGCAAAGATCAAATGATCCAGTCGTGTGCAAGGAAGATAAGAAAACGGTAGTTTTGCTTGCACATGATTGGATGATGGAAGTCAGCAGAGCTTCTTTGGTCGGTGTCTCTGAGTAATTCAACCCCACTATGTAGAATTCCAGAGTTTGTATGTTTGTGCAATTAATACAACAGCTGCAGATCGTGACTATAGAATATAATGTTTGTTATCTGTGGTATTTGTTTGAACACTAGAAGTCATTTTGCTCTTGTCATCTGTATCTTCAGAACATTTCTTTTTTATTATTTGCACAATCTCTTTTATTTTCAGTAATATTTAAACCTGCCAAAATAATATAAAATATATGCAAATTTCTAGCCATGTGGGTTTCGGGTGATTTATTTATTTCTAAGTGTTTTTAATGAAATAGAGTGGTTTATTCTGCAGCTGTGGCCCAGATGAGTATGTACGTAAAGGAGCTTAATATTATATTTACGATGAGAATATTCAGAAGTCAGATTGTTGCGTGCTGCTAGAAAGTTTTGCGAATGAAAACAATTAATTTCGCACAACAGTTGTTTTTTGTTATTGTTTTATTATATTTCTCCCCTCCTTTCTAGTGAGCCTGCTGCCAAGGCATTGTGGGAGTCCATGATGGGCATGAAACAGAAGGAAGCAGTGATGGAATTGCGAAGGTGTCTTGTAGACACAGCCAGCAGAGAGAAACTGCCAATTAAGATGAGCATGGGTGAGTACATTTTAACGGTCCATCACGGGTTCTTCTTTATAAGTCAGGGATAAGGCTTACTAATTTAAAGGGGGTGATTTTTTTTTGGGACAAAGATGTGGCAGATTGATTCAAACACATAAGTACCAAGAAAATGCATTTGCATTTTTTGTGTTATGGCCAGGAGGAAGGCGAGTATTGCAGCAAAAGCTGCATTTTTATGTAAACATTTAGATTTCAATAAAAATCAATTGATGACTCCAGCTATGCTAAAAAGCATGCATGACGGAACCTTCCCTGCCAGATACTGTATTCAGCAGTTGGCAGCACCACCCACTCAATGTTTGCTGAGCTTGGTGGTGCGGCACCCCCACCCCAAACATCCATCCACAGCGCGAACTTCAAAATTGGAGCAGTGCATGGTCAGCTTAAGGTTTTTTTTCTGAATGTAGCTAAGGATAAGACTTACCCGATAATCAAACTTTCACAAAGTGATGATTATTCGTTGAGACCTGGAATAAAAATGCACAAGTAAATAAAAAGAATATGTACGTACTAAACACAGATCAGGAGGATTGCGTTGTGCATCAAACAGGACAATACAACCCCAATTCCCAAAAAGTTGGGACGCTGTCAATCTACATAAAAACAGAATGCAATGATTTGCAAATCTCATAATCTCATATTTTATTCACAATAGAAAATAGAATATTAAATGTTTAATTTGTGAAAACGTACCATTTTAATAAAAAAAAATAAGGTAATTTTGAAATAGATGGCAGCAACACATCTCAAAAGTTGTGACAGGGCCATGTTTACCACGATGTAGCATCCCCTATTCTTTTAACAACACTCTGTAAACGTCTGGGAACTGAGGAGAACAGTTGCTGGAGATTTGGGAGAGGAATGTTGTCCCATTCTTGCCTGATTCTAACTGCTCAACAGTCCTTCTTTTGTCGTATTTTTAGTTTCAAGAAAAAATATTCTCAATTGGTAAAAGGTCTGGACTGCAGACAGGCCAGTTAGGCACCCGGACTCTTCTACTGCGAAGCCATTCTGTTGTCATAGATGCAGTATATGGTTTATCATTGTCCTGCTGCAATTTGCAAGGCCTTCCATGAACAAGACATCGTCTGGATGGGAGCATATTCTGCTCTAAACCCTGGATATATCTTTCAGCATTGATGTTGCCTTTTTCAGATGTGCAAGCTGCCCTTTCCATACGCACTTATGCACCCCCATACCATTAGAGATCCAGGCTTTTGAACTGAGCGCCGATAGCTGGAAGATCCCTCTCCTCTTTAGTCCAGGGGACACGATCCCCAAGGTTGCCAAAAATGTCATTTCGATTCATCTGACCAAAGAACAGTTTTCCACTTTGCGACAATTTTTTTTTTTTTAAGCATATAGATTTTTTTCAATGGATCAATACAGAATGTATGATTAAACATGTGCGAAGTGGAAAGCATAAATGGAAACACATCAATAAACACATCATAAATGGAAGCTTGTTACGTAGTCCCATAAGAGAACTACCTACGACTACAAACGATGTGTATGGGCAAGGCATATACAGGATGCAGTAGAAAAATGTACAACAACATATAACTGCAATTTATAAAGTACAAGGACAAAAAACAAAAATAGGGCGTTGGAACTGGAGGGAGGTTTAGGTTCAAACCAAAGAAAAGATAGAGAGAACAGAAAGTATGGTATGGTCAAAAAGTGTAGAATTCGTCAGTTGATCAAGAGCTGGAAATGGTGTGGGACAGAAAGGACATGTGAAAGGGTGTCAAAGGTGTTTGGTGTATCAGGTCGGCAGTGTATAGCATGGTCAGGTGGGAAGCTTGGGACAGTCACCTCTGTCAGGGTGGCAGATCTAGCTGATGAACTGTGTCACAGGACGTCCAAGGCCCCCCAAGGAGCCCTCAAGTTTAGCCATGAGGTACCAGTGCGTGTTTTGGAAAGTGGCCATAACATCTATAAGTTGTGCTAACGTCAATTCTGATGTAAGGTAGGCCGTCCAATTGTGAAAGTATTTACTTGTCCGACAGGTGTTGAATTTCCTGTCTAGTTTTTCCAGAAGCATAAGAGAATAGCAAAGAGAATAGCTCGTACATCCGACACTGATGGGGCGTCTGTAGCAAGCCGCTTCGTTAGGATAGCTTTTTTGGATGCTAAGGCATTGGTGTTCCCAGGAAGAGAGGGGAGGTGGGCGAGGATACGGTTGCTGAGGTGATTCTTGAAGGAGGCATAGAGTAGGGTGAGGTTCCCTGACTACACAGGTCAGAGAATGCATGTAGGCGAGTGTCTGGTGCCAGAACATTTGGATGGGGGCACTTCCAAATCAGATGTATTAAGTCGGGGCGAGGAAGAGAGCACTTGGGACAATGAAGGAGCCAATCAGCGGCCGGAGAAACTGGTGGGAAGTTGACAGACCATTTTAAATGAGCTTTAGCCCAGAGAAGACGGTGTTTCTGGACCATAGTTTCATCTTTAGATGATAGAGCTACAACTTGCATTTTTGGATGGCACGGTGAACAGTGTTTTCTGGAAGTATTCCTGAGCCCACGCAGTTATGTCCATCACAGAATCATGACTGCTTTTAATGCACTGCATTAAAAGCGAAGATCAAACCTGGTAAACTTGAAAGTTACATTTACAAAGTGAAAAGCATTGAAACAGGAAAACAAATTCAAATGTGTGTCATGACTTTTAATCATGAGAATCCATTTCACCAAAAAGGACACAGGCAACAAGAAAAATCCTGGTAGAGGGTCATGCCAATCTATCCGAAAGTAAAAACGTATTTGGAAGGTTAATTTATCTATTAAAGCACCACAAAATGGTCTAAAAGTATACTTATCCTTTTATATGGCAGAAGGTTCTCGGATACTGAAGATGTTGCATATAGTTGTACACATATGGCCACCATCTAGGAAACACCGTTTTGTAATTAATTTTATAATTTCACCTGAAACGACTTGTCATGCGATTATAATGGTATCTGGTATCATAACTGCCTTCTGTCTTCTCATCTTTAAAGAAAATTCCGGTGGGAGAACAGACAGAACATATTGAAAATTTGCATTTCTCTTTAGGGAATGTGCAAGCAATATCTTCTCATAAAACTGTTTTTGTAGTTTAGGGTTTTTGTGGACTTGAGGTTTGTGCAGGAAACTATAGATGATTTTAACTCTGGTAGGCATGCTTGACTCTAGGGAGCATTTGTCTACTGCTTCCTTTCTGGTTTTCTCTGTGTGCCGGCAGGGTGTCCTCTCCACCATCCGGAAAAGAAAACTGCATATTTATAGTACCTCCTGGATTAAAGAGTGTCAGGAGCTTCTGTTGAAGGATTGATAAAAAAAAAGAAACCAAATTTCAACACTTCAAAAGAATTATTATTTAAATGCTCTGTGATAGAAATTCTCTAAGTAGTGAAAATGATTAATTCAAAGAATTGTCAGTGGCTATATTTTGTTTAATCTTGTTCCTATAAGCTGCATGAAATACACTGTGCATTCATTTCACCTATCTTCCAGCTCAGTCAGTTTGCTACCGACGAGTACAAATACAATGAAATTTAAATGCTTTGCTGTTGAGTCTTTATTGGGTGTTTTACACAGCTTTGCAATCTTCGTTCTGAATGTACCAACGTCAAGGGGTACTGGAGATTAGGTAACACACACCAGGAGGTATTCAGTAAACACTGGTGCTTAGAAGAGGGTGCATCTAGTAATGCAGTTAAAGTATAAGTGTAGTTTAAAACAAAGGGCACCTATCCGTTAGAAAGCTTTAAGGTGATGTGACTGCTCCTTCCCTGTGCAGATATGAATACTTACCTAGTTCTGACAGGCTAGGCCATGGTTGCTTGTTGACATCCTACAATGGATATCTCCTTTTCGTGGCTTGAGGCATGAGACAGAGGAAGATGTGCCCCATAGAAGTCAATGGGGATTTACTGTGCATGCACAGTCAGGAGAAGGAGACCTGTGCTGCAGAATGTCAACAAACAACAAAGGTCAGGCCTGTCATGACTTGGTAAGTATTCATCTCTGCATAGAGAGGGAGAGGTGACATCAGCTTTTAAATTTCGGTAATTTTTCCTTAATATAGTAAAAAAATAAAACCCCCAGTGGTGAATAAATACCACCAAAAGAAAGCTCTATCTGTCCCCAAAAAAGGGTATAAAATTCATATTTTCCTGGTTAGTGGTCAGACAGTTCAAGCCAAGCAGTATATTTTCTGCTTTCTTTCTCAAGAGTTTAACTGCACAAGCAATTCAACAAATAGGTTGTGGTTTCTCGTCAGCAATAGGCCATATTGCTGATCTCTGTATAAACCATCTCCTATTTTCTTAAAGCTTAACAATATACACTGGGTGGCCAGATTGTTATGACCACCCCATCAGTACTTCGTTGGGCCACGAGATGACTCCACGAGATGTTGAAAGGTGATGCGAGGAATCTGACACTGCACTGTTGGCCTTCTGTTGTCTTGTACCAGTCTTGCCACTCTCCGTTCTGCCCTAACATTGACTAGTCGCTGACGGCCACAATTCGCACGTTCAGACCCAGATTTTCGGCTGACAGTCCAGTCTTTAAACATTTTATCAATAGCTGCTCTTGAACATTTAACGAATTCTGCTGTTTTGCGGATACTCGTTCCATGGCTCGCGCCAACAATCATCCCACGTTCAAAGGCTGTTAAATCACGTTGTTTACCCATATCTTCAGCAAAAAATCACTTCTACTGTCGTGGTAAACAACCTGCTTCCCTATTTATAATGGACTGGCCCTCTAGCAACTTCAGCGTGAAATTATATCTAATTTATAGCTAATTTGCCTACAAACATCAGGTGGTCATAATAAACTGGCCACCTAGTGTATACATTACAGAGTATAAACTGGGACCTGGGATTTCTGCAGCAAGAACCTACGGATTCTTGTGGCAAGAATTCCAGGTATGTCCATACAGATGCTGCCACTTTGCGGCAGTATGCATGTCCACACGGACAATTT